GGCTCTGCAGCAGACGACTTTGAGGCCTGTGGCTCTGCAGCAGACGATTTGGAGGCCTGTGGCTCTGCAGCAGACGACATGGGAGCCTGGGGGGCTGCAGCAGACGGCATGGGAGCCTGGGGGGCTGCAGCAGACGGCATGGGAGTCTGGGGGGCTGCGGCAGACGGCATGGGAGCCTGGGGGGCTGCAGCAGACGGCATGGAGGGCGTCGACCCCTCTGGAGAATTGGAGAGCGTCGACCCCTCTGGAGAATTGGAGAGCGTAGGACCCACCTCAGAGGCTGCGTGCAGCGTGGGGCCCACCTCAGGAATGGATGAACTGGGAGTCTTAAGAGTCTTCAATTGGGATAAAAAAAAATCATACTCTGGGAGAAAAGAAAGGCCTGGGATAGAAAGTAAAAAATCCTCCATCTGGGTTAAAACCAAATCAATGGAGGACGGGTTATTTTTAACTGAATTAAAAAGTTCAAAAAGGGCTTGATTTATCAGGAAAATATTTTCAGGGGAAAATGAATGAAAAGAGGGAAAGTGTGAATGAGGAGATGTGGTGACGGGTGCCGCCCCTACCGGAAACCTGGGAGGTGAGGCGGCGGGACACGCCCCCACAGAGTCACACTGAAACCCTTCTGGAGGTACGGCCAGGCTGGGCCGAACAGCTGCGGCGCGGAGTGACGGTGAGAGGCCGGATTCCGCCCCCACCAGGAACCTGGAAGGTGAGGCGACGGAACCCGCCCCTGAAACGTCAACCGGACCGGACCTACCGAACCGAGCAGGAGTGGACCGGAGCTCCCGCGGGACGCTGGATCTCGCCCCCACCGGAAACCTGGGAGGTGAGGCGGCGAACCCCGCTCCCACGAAAACACCGGAACCAGCTCTGAGGTTCTGCTCGGCCGACGAGACCGGCCCGGCCGCCACAGACTGCCTCCGGAACCGTCCGCCGCCGCGGCGGGACGGTGGATGGACGGAGAGGAGCTCGTCCATCAGGCACGAGGAGGGAAAAAAGAAAAAATGGGTGAGTGTTGCCGAGTGAGAACCCTGCCCGCTGGGTTCTGTTCTGGTTCGGGTCGTACTGTCGTAGTTTGCGGTTAGCAGCGAACCCAGAGTGCAGAACAGGGA